AATAATTGCTTCAAAAAAGACGAATAAGCTTTTAGTTTTGCAGAGTTACATTCTCAAATGTTTAAGGCACTAATAAAGTCAAAGTATCATGAAATTATTTGAATAAACCACACCACATATATAATGCAATTTTCTTTGCGGAAGTCAAGAATCAAGATTACATCACTATTAAATTAAACACTGACATGGAAAGACTGGAAAGTTGATGATTCAACGGACAATAGTCAATACGCTTCCCAACACATTCCATAGATTTTTTATTAATCCTATAGTTTATTGTTAGCAAGTGATTAGTCACTGATTACTGTGGCGGCTATTGTTAACACTGGTATTGATAAAATTTGCAAGCGATTGTTTTTATAATATGTTATGTGAATGTAAACTGTCAGAAGAATACGACAACATGATTTTATCAAAAGATATCTATGGATTTTATGCGATCTCTGTGGGCAATGGTTCCACTTTAGATGTGTAGAATATGACACTAGTCTAAGTACCTCAAATGAGTGGTTATGCAGACTGCAGTGTGCACACTACCAGCTGCTAAGAAGCCTAAAATGTGTATGTAATTTTGTCTCTTTGTAATAAATAAATAAATAAATCACACAATAAACCTTTTCAACTTGCAATCGTTTTGTTTTTAGATCAAAAATTCAAAATTTATATGGGGGGGGGCGAAATTCCTAAAGGGGGGCGATATTCCTAGGAGATTCGCCCCCCAGGGGGGCGCCCCCCTTTTGAGAGGGGGGGGGGCGAATCTCCTGGGGGGGGGCGAATCTCCTGTGACACCGGTAGAGTTCTATTGGAATAAACTGCGTCTCACTGAATTATCATACTGAGTTACTGACCAAATTTTCTTTAATATAACCATGATATGTCAATTCCAGCGTTCATAAACTCTTTTCTGTCACATTGTCTCAGTTCATTCGATGTCCGTAATTCTTTACAGCTCCGCACCAAGTCAAATTTTCAAATTTTCTTTCTCGGTAACAAGACATTGCTCTTTGTTGGGATATTTGTCAAAGTGAACTCCCTTATCACATTGACCTTTGTTCTGAGTGTTCGTTGTTGACATATGATTGGTCAGTTGATCTTTCATTCGGTTTTACACATGCCCAGAGAAACATTTGAACTTTGGACTATTGGATATCGCCTTTTTGTGGCTGTTGACAAGCTTATCCTGTTACTATGAGATTATAACTAGGTTTGAAGGTGACAAACGTGTTGTCTCATTAACTTGAATTTATATATTGTTATATATAAATTTGCTTAATTAGTTGTTTAATAGCAGGTGTAATATCCATGGGACCGAGTTAGCTTTAGTTCTCCTTTGGCGTACAGGTGCATGTTTATTTAAAATTTCGTAAAAAAATGATTTCCATACAATCCAGCATGTATTGGGATCATCGTAGCAAATAGTATCCCATGGTACCTGCAGTAAATCGGCGCGGAATTGCGATTCAGAAAAGTGTTTAAAATCGCGGAATTCTTTTATAGTTGGTCTAGATTTAGGTAATACAAATTTCCTTACAGCATAGACTAAGCTATGATCGGATATACCCGCCAAGATGTAAAACACCAACAGTCGAAATATATTCAGGTTTATTTGTCAGTATATTAAGTCTATAAGTGTGGATGTTAATTGATATAATTATAAAGAGCATAAAGTTTGCAATTTATGAATTTGTGAATCTGGAGCTAGTTTGTTAACGTCGCAGTTTAGATTCCCAACTAAAATTAATTCCTTATTTTCCATATCGCACTTAAAAAGAAACAATTCAAAGTTGGTAAATATATCGAGAGCTCTGAATTAGGTGGTCGATGCCAGGTAGCAATTACAAGAGGCTTACAATGTTGCCTAGTAATCTCCACATATGTCATTTCTAAATTATCAGGGACTAAATATTTTCTCTCATTGTATGGTTTATTATTTTTTATACTTAGAGCCACACCACCCCCAAATCTATTACGATCAAAACGAACAATTGTATAATTATCAATATGAAATTATGAATTAATTCTGCATCCAAAATTGAGGAGTCGATTTTAGTCTCATTAATGGCCAAAATGTCAAAAGGGTTATCAGACAGCAAGATACGAATCTCATTGATATGTTTTAAAAGACCATTAATGTTTAAATTTGCAATCTTCAGGTCCTTTAAATTCGATATCAGGCAGAAATAAAATTGATATCGCGGATTGAATAGCAACTGCTTGCGAAATGTCTCACAGTATTCAAAGAGTACCTTTTACCAGATTAACTTAATCTGCTATTCAAATGATTATCATTAATTCAAAAAATGTGCGTAAAAGGTACTCTTTGAATACTATAAGACATTTCGCAATTGCACTTGCTATTCAATCCGCGATATCATATGATAAAATTTAATGATATACAGATACGGAGCCAGGAGCGTAGCGTGACCTTTTTAACTGGGGGAGGGAGGGGGGGGGGGTAACATCTAAGTTTTACCAAAGACCACGTGGCACTTGAAGCGAAAAAATCTGTTTTATCCAATGGCCTCATTTTCAATGATGTCAACTACTTACTCATGTCAGTTTTGTGCTTAGTAGGGTTATTGAGCCTAAGGTGGGCATAAAAGACAGCAAATTTGGCCACGTACATATAACTTTCTCTCGTTAGTTTGGAATATCACGAAACTCCCTCACAGGATAGAACTTAACATTCCTAAAAATCGTATGTTTTTTGTTTTTCGATTGGTACATTTTGGCGGGAAAATGACGTGCCAACTGTGGTGCCAAAAAATTAAACACGAGCTAAGAACATGCTGGTAACTTTTTTCAAAAGATTGTCCTATAAGGATCTCAGAACTGTAAAAACATTAAAAATACAACAAGGCAGTGCCCCGGCTAGCACACAACGTTATCACAACGTTGGTAGAAGGTTGTAGTAATGTTAGGTCGGACCTAACTTTACCACAACGTTTAGGCGACATTGTTTTCTTTCTTTGTAATAAAAGTTTGTGTGATAAACGTTGCTGCAACGTTGTTGTTGGACGTTGGGATTGAGACGGCCAATTAACGTTTGTTCAACGTCTATTTACGACGTTGTGACGACGTTGGAGTGTAACGTTGTAGCAACGTCTAAAAGTGACATTCAGAGGATTAACTCGATCATGTTATCGACGGCCGGATAATTCATAATTGCTGTGAATTTTGGTTTAACCTGGCTATAACGTCAACAAATGAACAACGTCGACACTAGGTTTTCAATTTGGCTATATAGCCTATACTGGCAGTCTGGCAATCTAAAAACTCCAATTCTTCGTCTTCTGGCCCGAGTTGCCTTTTGTCCCCGAGCCGGCGGCGCGAAGCGCCGTGCGAGGGTACTAATTCCCCCCGGCTATTTACACCCGGGGAAACGAAAGCATTAGCGGAGTCTAAAGTTCATCAAATATCGCGGGCGCATGGTTCACCGTTCATGGCATAGAGATTATAAATAACACTAGAGGAGGCATTGTAATCTTAATTCAGTAAAAAAAAGGGAACGCGACTATTGGGGGGCAAATTCAAGTCCCGGATGTGTATTCGTGTTCCCATTGGTGACGAGTTTCAAATCAGCCAATGAGAGCACGATTTTATATCCGGGACTTGAATTTGCCCCCCATTAGCTGCGTTCCCAATTTTTAAACTCGATGCCTCCTCTAGTGTTATTTATAATCTCTATGGTTCATGGGTGGTCATCCTCACTGATCTCAAAATATAGCGGACTGTCGTGAATAGCGAACACTGATTGGTCAAATTTAAAATTTGTTGTTGTGAGATGAACTGACGACTTCAACTGACAGATACTTCATGAAAATAATTTGCATTTTGCACTGCAGTATTTTGTACGTTTGCAAAAAACTTTGACAGCTTTCAAAGCAATTTGCTCTATAAAGAGTTTAATAAAACAATTATGGTATCAAATACCAATTGAAAAGATATGGACTACTGTATGGAGCCAAATGAAGAGCGGCAAGGAAACGACAAGAAAGCCGAACGTCTCGCGAAAAGGAGGGAGCCAGCGAAGACGACAACGTTTGCTCGAGGAGACTGCTGAGGAAAGAGAAGCTCGCCTGGGAAAGCGTAGAGAAGCATGGAAAAAAAAAGACTGGTGAAGCGAAAGGTATTAAAGCAAAGGTTTGTCTTCACAACGCTATGTACCAATGATACTGTAGCTATACAAGTTTAAGTATGATATTCGACCCTCTATATTCGACTATTTCTTCACAATTTTCCAATAAAGAGTTTGTCATGACACGCTCAAGTCAGTATAACCAGACTGTATTTTATTTATATCAGTTATCAAATACCGTCGGTGGCAACTAAGGGTGAACAGTTGCAGATAAAACATTCTCTATTCTCATTAAAAAGCCTGTAAAAGTTTCCAGTAGGTCTCTAGCCCAACAAGTTCAGACAAAGTTTTGTTACTTGTTTTTATTGCACACATGGGAAACAACAATTAAGTGTTGTTGTTCTTGACAAACATTGAAGATTCTAATCACGCGAATGTTTTTATGAGCGACTGTTCATCGTTAGTTGCAAACGACGGTACAACATATTATGAACATTTTTCCGACTGTGACCGAATGTGCAACGATATATTTTTCAAAGTTGTTAACAATTCCTAAAATTTGTTTATAGTAAAACAGCCTGCTCAGCACTCACTACTCACGATGATTTCATTTAGAAATGCAGTTACCAGGAAAGGAACTGATTCTAAAATATGTAAAATTAAAAGCATTGGCTATTACGATGTGAAGACAAGGTACAAACTTTTATAGTTGCTATTTGTTATAAATCCTGTAAATAAACCGATTCAACAATAATTTTGCCTCGAATTTGCATATTCTATGCTGCATGTTTATATTTTATTTTTATAGTATAAAAATAAAATTGTAATACCATGAAATAAAATACATTTCTGTTTATTGACCAGTACTTATTTAATGTCTTCTTCATCCAGCGGTCAGAGTAAATTTCTACTTCTAGCAAGTAAATATTTGACAAGCAGTCTGGAATAAGCACAGGACTTTTAATGCATCAGCCAAATCCAAGTGTGCCCATCCCCCTCGCCCAGCCATTTTCCTGTAAAGCACATCCCGGGGGTTGGGCATTTCCACTCGAACTTTAGCCCCGGCGGGGCATTTGAAATTAATAATTTGGATTCTTGCACTTCACTTGTGGAATTAATATTAGAATGTTAGGGTTTGTAATCCAAGTGAGAATATATACATGTATATATTTTGTAATCCAAGTGAGAATATTTTGTAATCCAAGTGAGAATATACAAATGTATAGTACATGTATATATT